ACATTCAAATGTCCTAAAGTTAGATTATTTTCTATGATCATTATTATCTAATACATCTATTAATATTCTTAAAAAAAATTCTAATTGTAAGAAGATACAGACAGTTGACCCACTAGGGACAAAGAATTAACAAATAAAAAATAATAAAAGCAGAACAGCATAAATATTTACAAATATCAAGTGCAGACAAATAGTGCTATTTGAAAAGATAAGTAAAGCGTATTCTTATTCGCAATATAGTCCTAAACACAGAAATTTATTATAAATAGAACTGTACAAGTTCACAAAAGTACTTTAATTTCAATAGCCGACACAATAAATTAAAATCATTCATACGAGGTTCTTTTAATATAGTTTAGAATTTCTAAGAACTCGTTGGGAGCGACCAACACTTTTCCTTTTCTTAACTATTTCTTTATTATTTTCACCACTTGATGTAGTATCTCTTTCTTTTCTCTTATGAGCTTGATTTTTTTGATCAGGCTCTTTCGTTTGCTCGAGTTCTTCTGGTTCTTCCTCTTCCTCTACATCTGATTCGTTTTCACTGCTATAGTAACTATCTGAACCATAATCTTCTAAGTCATGAGCAGAGAACTCTTTCCGTTCAACTATCAATTTAAACCCTTTAATTTTAGCTTCTTTCTGTTGACTTTTTGCAATTCGCAAATGTTTGACGAGTATTTTATTATTGTCTCTATCTTCTGGACATAGATCGTTGACCACTGAAATGTTTTTCCCACGAAGTTTCTGAATATTTTTAAAAATTCGCTGCTTTTGGAAGAACGATATAAATTCAATTAACAAGCCTTTTTTGTCGTCTTTCGTCCTATGAAATAGGCATCTTTAATAACAGCTTCACTAAAGGTTATTTCAAATAAAGAATTTAATGTATCAATTACAAAGCTTAGTATATCCTTATTTTGATCATGTAAACCAAAAATTATGATATTGTTTTTACGACTTTTCCTTTCCAAGTATAAATATTTAGTTTATAATTTTTCTACTTTTATGTTTGTTTTCTTAAGTTTTGTCTCTAACTCTTCTTTACTGCTCTGAATTTCTTTAGTTAGTGCTTCTGTTTGGACTTGTTGAGCAGATATGAGCTTTTTATATAAGTCAGCTATTGTCATTTCTTCAGACATAGTCTCTTGAAATGCCGACAGTTTTACTTGTCACAGTAATTATTGACAATGTCTTATAAATTTTAAATTCGAAAAACTGGTTTGTTTGTTTTTAAAATATACTAACTACGGACCAAGCACCTTATCTTATCACGTTGTTTCAATTTTTATGTGAAGGTTTAAATCAATTATTTTCAGTTGCATTAAATAAAATTGCACATACCTTCTACATAAAACTATTCCTCGGGAGATTCTCTTTCGGCTGGTACAAACTTTAATTTAGATATCGCTATTTTTAACACTATAATTTTACACATTAGTAGAGCTGCTGTTACTTGCGTGTTGCTACCATCAACGATATTGCCGGTTTGTAGGGGATTATAAACCACAGGGTAAATTGTGCATGAGTTAAAAGAGATATTATATCAAATCACAGTTAGATATACTTTTATTAATTCCTTCACTCTCCGAATCATTAAATTTTAAGAGCCAGCTAGAAAAAAGGAATTACTGCCACCACTTACAATCCTTGGATAGGCCAGTAACGTGGCAAGTTAGTTTTGTATATCTCTTTCATAAGTATTTATAAGTAAAATGTAACTGGACATTCAGTTAAATGTTAATCTTCTCGTTTACGTTTATCTACCATTATTTGTTTTTATTGTAGTTAAACCATTGTGGGTTGGGTTCTGGTCAAGGATCCTGAGGGAGTCAACTTTCGTTTAGCCGAAATCAGTTACGTAAAAATTGTTGCCATGGCAACCGTTGCCATGGTAACCAGTAAACAAAAACCAAAATCTCGTGGTGAGGAAATGCATAGTTGCCAAGTTATAGATTATTTAATGTTCACTTTAGTTTAGACGAAATCAGTTATGATAAAACTGTTGCCATGGGAACGCTTGACATAGTAAGGACTAAACAAAAAGCCAAATCCCATGGTGAGGAAATGCGTAGTTGCCAATTTACAGATGATTTAATTTAGCTGTAATCAGTTACAGAGAAACTCTTGCCATAGAGACACTTGTCATGGTAACGACTAAACAAAAACCCAAATCCTGTGGTAAGAAAATGCATAGTTGGCAAGTTACAGGTCATTTATATTTCACTTTAGTTTAGCTGAAATCGGTTATGGAGATGTCGTGATGTCGACTAAACAAAAACCTAAATCTAGTGGTGAGGAAATGCGTAGTTGCCCCTTATATTTAGATTTACTCGTAACACAATATCCTAATCTAAACTAAAGTGAAAATGAAACCATCTATAACTTGGCAACTAGGCATTTTCTCACTACGGGATTTGTTTAGTCATTATCATGACACACATTTCCATGGCAACAATTTTTCTATAAGATCACGCTACGCTCCTCCCACCCACAACCTAACTACTACAGAGGAAAGCGAGCGAAGCGAGTGCGCCTGGCCGACGTCGGCCAGGCGCGCCCTTTTTCCACCTACATCGTAAGATCACGCTACGCTCCTCCCACTCACCTCTTAACTACTACAGAGGAAAGCGAGCGAAGCGAGTGCGCCCGGCCGGCGTTTCGAAATTCAAGCGCGCGAATCGCGCGAATCGGTCATAAGACCACGCTACGCTCGTTTTACTTTCCTACTAACCACTATTTGGCAACTACGCATTTCCTCACCACGAGATTTGGGTTTTTGTTTAGTCGTTAGCATAATAAGCGTTTTCATGGCAACAGTTTCTTCATAAATGATTTCAGCTAAACTAAAGTGAACATTAAATAATCTATAACTTGGCAAATACGCATTTCCTCACTGCCGAAATTGGATTTTGTTTAGTCCTTAGGATAATAAGAGTTTCCATGACAACAGTTTTTCCGTAACTGATATCGGCTAAACTAAAGTAAACATTAAATGATCTATAACTTGGCAACTACGCATTTCTCCATCACGAGATTTGGGTTTTTGTTTAGTCGGTAACATGACAAGCGTGCCCTTTCATCATTTCCTTCCATAAAACCTAAAATAAAGTGATTCGTGAAATTGTCAGTTCTTGACATATACGGTCCTCGAGTTTGCAACGTTGCCATACTATATGTTGATTTTTATCACTGACAATTTCCAAGTTTTAGGTTTCTGTTTGAATGAGAAGAAATATGTTATGTGAGACTTTTCATTTCAATTTGAGCTGTGTCCAGGCCGTTGGAGTCTATGCCGGTAGGCGTAGCCAGGTATGGGTTAAAATTTTTTGGTGGCGGCGAAGCCGCCACCCTACGGTAAGGCGTTGTTTCGTTTTGAGTAAAAGAAAATTTAAAAAAAGTTGTCTAGGTATTACATGTTAAGTGTTTTAATTAATTTCACTTTTTAATTTTGTATGTAGTTTTTTTAAGCTGCATTTTTAAAAGTATTTTATATACGATTATTACCGTACTTATCTTTTTGAAGCAAACGAAAAATGTATGATTTTTGATTATTTCATTTTTATAATCTCATAATTTATAAATTTTAAATAATCCTTAAACTTATAATTTTATTAACAACTTGGCAACGTTTATTATTTTTAAGACAGAAACTCTCATTTAGAGTAATTGTTTACCTGCAACCTGTAAAATTGGGATTTTTAATTTAATTTTTTTTGAAAAATACTGCATCGTCCATACATTTTTTTTCGAAAATTTACTACAGAAACTAGTTACTTGTGTTTAAATTTTTTTTGTGAATTTCGCACCTCAGTTTCTTTACCGGACCCCCATTGTGTATTAGGGTTGCCACCTTTTCATTTCACAAAACCCAGACCTTTGTGAAATTTCTATAAAAAAATCCTTAGTTTATAATTTTATAAATCAAGACCTTCTACCGAGCTTCTAAAAAAAAAGGTCATCGGTTTATGATTTTATAAACCAGGTCATGTCGAAAACTTCTACAAAAATATTATCCAAATATTTCCGGACATTTTGATCCATCATGCGAACGGACTGAAATATTAAATTTACAACAGACATTGTTTTCTGAAACGAAGAAAATGGTTTAGAAAATAGTTTTCTGTTTTATAGAGGATTCTTACCAATTCTACTCAAATGTTTAAACAATAATTATAAAAGAAATTCTTTAAATTAAAAAACAATCAGAAACATGACATATGACAAGAAAAATTGACAAGTGACAATTGACATAAATATAAACGTTCCGAGGCATTTTGTTATGTTCGCAGTACTACTCGTCTATACTTTTTTAGCAAATTACTTTATTACGTTGTGTTAACATAACTGGTAGGTCAAATAGGTAAGTAAAAAATACGAGTTTTGCGAGGTTTGGATTTCCCTCAACAACTTCTCACGAACGTTGCATTTACGTTGTATAATAATGTTATTACGTTCCTGTAAAGCAACATCGCCGAAAGGCTTGGCAACGTTATGTGCTAGTTGGGATGATATGTTTGTGTTCTTCTAATTTGTCACTGAGAAATTATTCATTCATTTTAAATATATTTTTTTTTATGATTCTACAGGTGGTCCTTGTTCTTGCCCTTCGTAGTCGGCGCCTATGATGGTAATATGTAATATTTTATATTCTTTGTATCTGGCTCTGCTCCGGGAAACGAGCAAATAAATAAAGGTCACGCGTACAAGTAATTAAAGTTTCATTTTAAGTTTTTTTCTTATCACAGTTATCTGTAAATTAGACTAGGTTAAAGTTTTCAAAACCTAGTTAAACAACCCTTACTTTGAAATGTAAGGTAAGTAGTTAACAGCACGCAGATTTTTATATATTATCGAAAATAAATTACATTGACGTGCTACGTGTTGAAAAAACTTTTATAAAGTCCAATAAATCTTCTAGATTACCTTCGATAACTTTTTTCAGATATCATAACAAATACTTACAATTTGGGTGACCATTTAAAAAATACAAAATTTATTTGGCATTAAAATTTTTTATTAACATAAAAAACGAGCAGTTGACGGTTTGGAATAAAAAAATTTAAAAATAATTCCTGTAAAAAAATTACAATCTTTTAGGTTCAAATAATAATATTTTCTAAAACAATAGAAAATTTAATATTACGTGGTATAAAAATCGTTATTTTGAATAATTAGTTTGTGAAATTAATCCTATTTTTTTAATTTTATTTAAAACAGTTATTATGGTATTGGAGGATACAGTTTATCGTATGGAATTTGGCCCTCTATGGCCTTAAACAGAAGGTCTTCTAAAATGTCGCTCAATACTTTTTCCAGAACCGGCTTCAAGTCTTCGAACAGCTCATTCACGTTGTCGTTGATGACTTTGTTAGTAATTTTACCTGAAGAAGATTGTAGAGTCTAGTTACAAAAATGTTAGAAACTCTATAGGTAGGTAATTAAAAACATTATAAAAGATCAATTTAAAAATATCCAGAAAGGAATAGAAAAACAAATTATATACAAATATTTTTGTGTTCTTAAGTGTTTTCACCTGGCCAAGTCTCTTATAATATTCATCTAACTCTTTATGAAATTCGGTTAAATTTGATTACTTTCATTTCGTATGCATCACGAAGCATTTTATTGTCAGAGAAAGAAAGATATGTTCCGATACATACACAAAAAGGGTAATAAGCTCTAAACGGAACCTCAGGGAACATCGATGATAACTGCATTCTGGGAAATTTCATCTTCCATAAGAATAAATAATTACGAATATCGAAATTCGCAGCTACAGTACAATCCTTTACAGAATTAAAATTAATGCAAAAAGATTGGTAGTTTTTCTATTACGGTCCATTATAGAGAGAAATGTATAAAACAAAAATTATAGGGAATAATATAGGTAACTTTTATTTAAAGAATTTTCTTTTACAAACGTAAATAACAGACACATATTTCATAAAATATAAAAATGACCCCTTATAAAGTACCTCTAGATGTTCCGACTCTGCCCAAAATCTAATAAGTTCACTGCAGACCAAAATAAAGCTTGAATTTAAAATTTGGTGATTTTCTCATGAGTTACCGAGTGCACACTCGCTCCTGTTTCCGCACGCACGCACCCACGCACGCACGCACGCACACAAACACGCACACAAACACGCACACAAACACGCACACAAACACGCACACAAACACGCACACAAACACGCACACAAACACGCACACAAACACGCACACATATACACACAAACACACATACACACACATACACACACATACACACACATACACACACACACATACACACACACACACATACACACATACACATACACATACACACACATACACACACATACACACACATACACATACACATACACATACACATACACATACACACATACACATACACACACACACACACATACACACACACACATACACACACACACATACACACACACACACACACACACACACACACACACACACACACACACACACACACACACACACACACACACACACACACACACACACACACACACACACACACACACACACACACACACACACACACACACACACACACACACACACACACACACACACACACACACACACACACACACACACACACACACACACACACACACACACACACACACACACACACACACACACACACACACACACACACACACACACACACACACACACACACACACACACACACACACACACACACACACACACACACACACACACACACACACACACACACACACACACACACACACACACACACACACACACACACACACACACACACACACACACACACACACACACACACACACACACACACACACACACACACACACACACACACACACACACACACACACACACACACACACACACACACACACACACACACACACACACACACACACACACACACACACACACACACACACACACACACACACACACACACACACACACACACACACACACACACACACACACACACACACACACACACACACACACACACACACACACACACACACACACACACACACACACACACACACACACACACACACACACACACACACACACACACACACACACACACACACACACACACACACACACACACACACACACACACACACACACACACACACACACACACACACACACACCACACATAGGAAAGTAAAAAGAACTTACTCAAGTCACTGTTATTATCAAAGAGTCCTTGCAAATTGGCTTTGGGTCCACTCACATTGATGCTGCTATTGGTATGCGTGGGCACAATGAAATTTAGTCCTCCTTTCCTTTTTTCAACTTTTACCTTTTGATAGACAGTTGCATTACAATTTTCTAAAAAAAAATTATTATTTTCATCTCAGAAATTAAGAATGAGAGATATTTTAAATTTATAATTAAAAAATTAAGGCAATTTTATATACAAAATCATGCCATTCTTCAAAACATAATAGAACAGAATCTGATTTCACAATTTAATATTATTTATGGAGAAATGAAGTCATATTATTGTTTCTATAAATTAGGCAGACAAAATTTGTATCAAGTCCCTTTTTTTTCTCTCTCCTGGGCTCGTCTGACTATGTGTCTCCGAATAACACTGAAGCCTATTGGCTTATTGTGTTTTACCCTATGTTAGTTCATAGCACCCACTCTGTCACCTTTGTACCTTGTACAAGTTTGTACAGATCCTTGGGTGAGTGGGTTCTATACGTTGTTGGATCAACCTGGGGTTGTCCAAAAAGAGCCTGACTTTTGCGATCTAGAGCTTCGCATTCGCACAGTATATGTTTGGCCGTTTCTGGTTTCTTGTGACATAGTCGGCACATGAGTTCCCCATTGTACATGCCAATTTTGTTCAAGTGTCCCTTTACTCGGGCGTGCCCAGTCATGAACCCTGTTATCACTTTCAACTGGTTCCTATTCATTAAGAGTAGTTCTCCAGTTCTTTTGGGACATGGTCTGCCTATGAAGGCTTTTCTTTGTGCCTGTTTTGGGGTGCTTCCCCAATAGTTGATATGTTGTTCCCGAATCCAGTCATTTATAAAACCCCGGACTGTACTTTTTGGTACTCCTGGGTTTGTGTCTGGTTCCGGTGTTTTTTCTGACCCTCTTTTTGCAAGTTCGTCAGCCTTTTCGTTGCCTTCGATCCCTTTGTGACCTGGCACCCAAAATAGTTTTACTCTATTTTGGTCTGCCAGTGTTCTTAGTTCTTCGATGCATTCCCATACCAGCCTCGACGTAACTTTCTGACTCGATATGGCCTTAAGTGCCGCTTGGCTGTCTGACATTATTTGAATATGCTGATTTTCGACAGCTCTTTCATTGTTCGTTTTTGCACATTGCAAAATTGCGTATACCTCGGCCTGAAATACCGAGGAATGTATTCCTATAGCATCAAGTTCCTTGGATTAATATTGGATCATAAACTAACGTAGGAACCTCATACCAAATCAAGTTAGTCATGGAAATCCTCAAAATGTACACCGTTTACAATTAAACAAAAATGAAGTCTATTTTTAAAAGCATTTCTAACACTTGTTGTTATTTTGGCTTTTGCCACTCTAGTGTACTGTCAGTTGTCAGCATGACAGCGTGGTCAGGGTCGTGGAACACGAGACGATATGTCATCGGTCACTCGAACCTGCCCTCCTTTTTTGCTAGTGAGTTACAACGATTACTAATGTATTGTATTACAACATTAAAGAGTTACTTAGAACTTGGGTGCTTCTTTTCCCGTTACCAACATCTTATCAAACACTTGTGACCTTAAATTTCGACATTCCTCTATTTTCTATTACGTAAATCAGCTATTTTGATTGTTTTATAAACACCAAACTTTAAATGTCTCTACAAAAAGAAATCTAGGAGCGTTAAATAAAGGAAGCGAGCTGCCATCCTATCCAATGTACTGGAAAACATCTAAATAATTCCTGACTTCTACAGTAATATAGCCCAGTTATATCATGTTGTAAGTATAACTCCTCCCTATTTCATTCAAGTTTTCTTCCAGACACTGTAAGGTAAGAGGATGTGTTAGCTCTTCCAAAACTGTAAGTACTTAGGTCCAGTTTCCTGGAAATATATTGGACCAATTACTTGGTTATTAAGAATTCCAGCTTATACATACATTAATGTTTTGTAATCACAATTTTGTTAATTTTAATTTAAAACCGTTTCCATGGCTAATTTATAATTTTTTGGAGTTATTAATTTCTGATATCTTTAACTTTAAATATCTCAAACATGTCATGATGTAAGTTACTAGTTTTTTAAATAGGGATATCAAGAAAATTGCGATCTTTAAAATAAGAAAAAAGTACGAGTGGCTAGGGGCGGTGGGTATGTGGATGACCCGATAGGGTCTTAAAAAATAACAGAAATAATTCAATATTAAGTTTTCGTACGGACACCTGGTATATATAAGGTGTTTCATTAAGAATTGTACATAGAACAACTGAAGATAATCTGAATAAAAATAAGACGATTAAACGAAACATGTGTTCAAATTCTTCACTCTCGAGTAATAAATTATTTTTTTGTAAATGATTCCGTTGTAAACTATTTGTCATGACTCAGAAGTTCTGACTTCGAGCGCTATGCCAGTCAAGCATATGTTAGTAATTTAGCTTTGTATTTCAAATTCCGACTGGACAATTAAGAGCATAATTCCTTGTATAACAAATTCTTGAAAATTTTATATAAAAATTCCATTCTAAGAAATAGACATGTGATTAGCAAATGCTGATATTGCTCTCTCTGGTCATCGAAAATATATCTTCAAAAGCCTTCGAAAAGTAGTATAATGTAGTCTTCAGTTGTGAAGAGTCGCGCATGTTACTCATTTTTGAATTACAGGGTGTTCAAGTCGAAAATTCCCATACAATTTAATGACTATAATTTGTTTATTACTCAGTATAATTTTACTCAATTTGGTGATTGTTTTTAAGGTTATAAGATACACCACCCATCAGCAAAAAAATATGTTAAATAAACATTGCCAGTGGCGTACGGCGTGGGTAAGTAACACCTTCATCCTCTATAAATTTTACGCCACTATCCAAACACTTATTTGGACTATAATTTTAATATTTTTTTTTTAAATCTGATGTGTTCAACACATGACTTTCCTGTCTAGTTATTAAAGGCTTTTTCTAGTTATTTTGCACAACCTATTGTATCATCCCTGTAAATTTTTAGAGGATGAACTAATACATTTATATTCCACACACATCATACTCGAAACACTTATTCATTGCCAACGAACACTCTGAAAATTTAAAATTTTATTTTACCTCAAATTTTTCTATTACGGTCCATTTTAGAGAAATCATGTATGAAACAAAAATTATAGAGAACAAATATTATTTGAACAATTTTCTCAAAAATTCGAATTTTGCTTTTTTCTCAAATATCTCGAATACGGTCCATTTTAGAGAAATTACGTATGAAATAAGAATTATCGAGAATCAAATCACAAGTAGGAAGGTAACCCCCTATAAAGTATCATCTCAGATGTTCCTAATAAGCCCAAAATCAAAATAGCTCACCGCTGGATATATTAAAGCGTAATTTTAAAATTTGGTGTTTTTCTCTTCAACCGTTCATGAGTTATCGAGTATACAGACACACAGACATGCATCATCGCGAAAATAGCATAGTCAAAATAAAAAACACGTCGAAAACTCGAGGTAAAAAAAAATCATGATTCCTATACTTTCCTTATCTGTAGGTATACAGACAGGAAAGTAAAAATCATATACTTGTGTTAAAAACTTATAGGGAAATCAAAATTTCGACATTTCAGAAATTCAAAATGAATTAAAATATGTAAAGAGCATCCACCTTTGTGTGCATATATCTCGAAAACCAATCACTTTATAAGTTTCCAACAAGAATACACAATTTATGTAAAAAAACCAATACATTTTAAATTATAGTACAAATAAGTTTTTGGACAGTGGCGTAAAATTTAGAATGGATGAAGGTGTTTCCTGTTTCCTCCTTTTCCTGGCAGAATCGGCACAAGGTCTCTTCTGCCAGACCTACGTTATACATGTTTGTTAAGCCTACAGGACCCTGTCAATAGGCCTACCAGTACTCTAGTATTTTTCCTATTGCTTGGTAAGTTTTGGCGATGTCATTTTAAGAACTCTATGGCCTGTTTTTCCATCATTTCTGAGAGTTTCTAAAAATACACTGCTTCGTGCATGTTATAATAATTGTCTTTATGACACCACAAAAGGGTTCTAGGCCAATAAGTCTCCTTCTCGGGCTAGTAAATCAGCCTCTTCGTCAGCTTCTGTGGCCTGGTCTGATGTTCAGCCTTAAGGTAGTTAGATCTATACCCATATAGTCAGAAGAGGACTAAAACATACCAAAAGATGGTTCCAGGAGGTGTGACTTAATATTAACCGCACCAAAACAACAGTGTAGTAGCCTTTTCAAGGAAAAGAAAATCTCAAAACCATAAAATTAGATTAGATTAATTAATTAATTAATTAATGTTCCAACGACGCTAACGTAGAGAAATTTTTGTGCTCCGTCTCTCTGACAATTTAGAATCCGGCTCATTTTAGCGCGTACGAATTTGCGCAACACAGGTTTGGTAAATTAGTTACGATTTTTTTTTTAATTTTATGTCAATTTTCTTTCTCAAAGCAACCTGCGATGACTTCAGGCCGCCCAGGTTGGGTAAATTACTATTTTTTTAATTTTAATTAGAGTACTGGAATATTTTGACTTGTGCTCTTATGTCCTGCGCTATTTTGTCCTGTACTATTTTGTACTTGCGTTATTTTGTTCTTGCGCCATTTTATCATGGAGCCATACTAATCATTACTTACGGGGCTGTAGCTTGTGTGTTTTGCATCATCGGTGCAATCAGAACTTGTCCTACTGCGGCAATCGAGGTGATCTTAAACATCTCCTATCTACATTTAATAATAAAGAACGCGGCAAAAAAACAGGATATAGATTGATCAGGAACGGATGAGCAATCGGATGAAACTCTGTTAGCTTCAGGACCCAGGACGAAATGCGGAAGAAGTACAGTTTTGTGAAAATTTTAAAACCACAAAGCTGGGCTGCAAGAAAGAATGGAGCCAAGAATGGGCTAAGAACTAAGCACTGAATAGGTGAATACCCAAGCATCTTTCAGGCCTAAATTTCCACCATTGAGAAGTATATCCAGTTTAACATCGACAGAAACTATCCGAGACAAGAGATTATAGCTTAGCAGCCATCAATGCACTGTGCTGCACTCAAAAATGGTCGGGAGATGCCTAAAAAACTGAATCAGATAGGCGAGGAAAACAGTTACTCACACTTGGGTACCGGGACATAACGGGGTCAAGGATAATGAGATAGAAAGGGACTCAAACACTCTTTGTGGGTCCTGAGCATTTCTGCGGTATCAGCAGTAATTCAATATTAGGAGAGATTAAAAAAGAATTGGGTAGTAGAAGAACCGATTATTGAAGCAATCTCTTGGGACTAAGACAGTTTTGGGTGTATATAACCAGAGAAGATCGGAAACATGTATCTGCCTGAGCAAGAACAGGCTACCCATTGTACCCTTACTGGGCATTGCCGACTTAAATAGTAATCCGAGAGTAGTAGAAGATAGTGAGTGCAGATTTTGTGAGGAGGAGGACGAAACCATTCAGATTCTGACTGAATGTGTAGTACTTCAGAATTCAAGGCCAAACCAAATAGAAGAAGGCGATCAATCCAACTTGAAGCCATTCCAAATTCTACACTCCCTTAAGAAGATAGTTATAGAAAAGGTCGTTATAAATATCCAGACTATTTCCTCGATGCATTAGCCGGTGCCTTCTGGGGATTAACAGCTGATTGCAGGAACAATTTAGTAATTTGATGTACGAAACTGGTTTATTTAACTGATTTTTTTGCTGATAGGTGTATCTAATGACACCAAAAACGTTTGCCGAATATAGTAAAATTATACTGAGTAATAAAAAAAATATAGTCATTAATAATTTTTGAATTTTCAACTTTAACACCCTTATTTCAGAACGAGTATCATTTTATCTAAGCACGTTTCATTTAATCGCCTTATTTTTAATTAATGATGGTGGGTGAGATTTTCCGTATTTTTCTCATCCATAAGTCAAATGGCACCATTAATCATCTTTAAGTCGCCTAGGAGCACCACGCCAAATGATAATAATAATAATAATAGCTCAGCTTCTGGGGTTAACATTCACTCGTTTGGGGGGGAATTAGGGAGATTATTATTATTATTAATCAGAGAATCTTCAATTGTTCTTAACTGAACACGTTGTAAATGATATAAGTGATGATATAACTTTCTCTTATCTTCCTTTTTTACTTTAATCATTAATTCTGGATCCTATTACATAGCTAATAAGCTGCAGCTATTAATATTTACCGTTTAAATGTTTACTTTCCTGTCTGTATACAGAAGGAAAGTATAGGAATTAGATTTTTAATTTTTTATGTATTCTAATACCTAATTGAAATTAATGGATTTTGTTATAAATACCTACTTATAACTTGTTTGGTCGTATTTTCAGTTCACTCTATTTAATCTTATTATCAATCACAGTGATTATAATAATTGATACTTTATGTGGTGCAAAAAAGTGTTTCGACTGATCTTTTCTCATTATTGAATTAATTGTAATACATTTTAATATGTATACGCTAAATATAATTCATTAATTGCTTACATGTCTTCCTTGAGATATTATGGTCTTCACGCTTAATGAAATTTATATAAAAAAACCTGACAATATATTAATAATTTATTTTTTTATTATTTTTCTTAAAATTGTTATTCCCATACAATAATCAATAATCACTATCGAAAATCTAAAATAAAAAATTAAACAATAAAAGTGAGCAAATAGCTTTTGTAAACATACTTTTGTCGGCACTTATTTTGTTATCTGCGTTCTTTAAATTAAAATAGAAACATAGTTTATAAAATAATTTAGTTTTCAGTCATCTATTTTTGCTCCATAATTGCAGATAATACCAATTTTTCTTTTTTGAATGCTAAATGGGTTCTAGATGAAAATTACAAAGCTTGTCTAAAAATTTTACTTTTCTAGTAGGGTTAGGTGAAAAATATTTTTCTACGAGTTGAACAACATATTTAAGATATGGTACTATTTTAGTGCAGAACAATATAATAATTATATAAAAAAATATTTAAATTTTGTTACTGGTAACATAATAACCTTTATATAGTGTATATCCTAATAATTTTTAAACAAAGTATTTGACAATATATTTCTTTAAGTTTATCACAGCTCGTCTGATGTGTTACTGGAAGGTGCATTTCGCGCGGGTTAACCTATAGAGGAAGGATTTTGAGAACCTCTAGACTAGCATCCATATCCTTTAAGCAGGATTGTTTTTTTAGGCTGTTATATTTTTGTTTAAAAATTGATTATTTTGTAGATTGAGTTTAGTTTCAGAAATAAATGTTGTCAAGTAAAAATAAATAAATAAATAAATAAATAAATAAATAAATAAATAAATAAATAAATAAATAAATAAATAAATAAATAAATAAATAAATAAATAAATAAATAAATAAATAAATAAATAAATAAATAAATAAATAAATAAATAAATAAATAAATAAATAAATAAATAAATAAATAAATAAATAAATAAATAAATAAATAAATAAATAAATAAATAAATAAATAAATAAATAAATAAATAAATAAATAAATAAATAAATAAATAAAGTGAACCTAAATCAGAATAATTAAACTGTTTAAAATAAATAAACGTGACAATATGATTGCCATCAGATATATTTTTTATATTATTAGATTTGTTTTTCAGTATTTTATACAATTTAGTTTAGGTATCTGTGTATTAGTTTTATAAATTCCAATACTCACCAACAGATGCTGTAAAAGTACCCGATCCAACAATGGGTGCCACCAAAATTTTTCCAGTTACACTATAGTTGCCTCTTAATTGTAAATTGTTTATTGTACACTCGCAGAAGAACTGAAGATTAGGAACATCAAAACTAAAAGTAAAAAATAATTTGCTACAATTTATTTATTGAGAATTTATAAATGCATAACACGAATTTAAACGTAAAATCGCAACCGGAACTAATATGAGGTAAAAATATACATTAATAATGTGGTGGATCAGAGAAAAAAAAATTAAATTTTATCAGCAGCATGATTTAAGGAAATATAATAAAGAGAGTAAAAAGAAATAGGCAGAGTCTGCTTTCGAATCAAGCAGAAGGGTTTTTTTAGATTTACGACTTAATGTTTTGATCCACAGAACCCACACTTCTTCTACAAGGTGTTCTCAGCTCTCAAAAAATGTCAGACCTTCAAAATGACACAAGACATGGACTGGCTTTTTGTTCTATAATATATAATAATACTCTCCCTAATAGTCCCTTATTCACTCCCTTACGAGTGAATTTCAATCCCTGAAGCCGACTGAGCGATTTTTGTATTATTTGTCATAGTGCTTCAACGCGACTTAAAGGTGATTGATGGTGGCATTTGACTTACAGGTGAGGAATACCCGGAAAACCACACCCACCATAATCGCAGAACATTTGTATTATAGAACATCTGCAGAACCTGCATTGTATTGGTTCTTCTGTCCAATTAATGATATTATTGTTCAAAAGATAGAGAACCGGTGTTCATGATTTTGCTAGTTACTCCATACTTGGTCGACCAGGTGCATAACATTATTTTACGAGGTAGAAGAATAAAATGGTAGGCATAGAAAAGCAACATCTGTACTTAATTTTAACGAATGACCTGGATATACACCAACTGTCTACAAGATGGCTTTCTACAAGTAATAAACGAATCCAAAGTGAACATTCTCTGATTTGGATTGGTTTAACAAGAATCGACTATACGCCATATTAGTATGATGCAATAATGGTTTCACTGACAGTTAACTTTTAACCAAACTTTTAATAAAACCATCATTAAATTTGATATATACATTTTTACTGTTTTTAGGTTTTTTCTTAATATTGGTAACTAAACGATTATATATGATGCCTCTTATCTAATTTAAAAAAGTTCCTAACTATACAACTTAGATAAACAAAACGAACAAAACATACTTAAACAGTCTACTGTAACTGTAATTGGCAGTGGAACCATAATTACATCATCACTAAATTAGCTTGCGTCAGTTCGTGACTATGGACGAACATTTTGGGTAGTTACATTATTCCACGTGGTTCTTCGATATGAAGAAAGTTGGTTGCATTGGCGGGTTGTGGCTTCGTTATTTTGGAATTCAAATGGCGTATTGTTAATGGGTTATCTAAGCAAGGGTAATGTCCAATTGTCCAATAATAAACTAACCTAATGATTGCTATAAAGATAAATCGTTTTAGAAGGCATAATTGACGGACGACTAAGACTTTAAAATCTGAGAAAAGTTCTTCTAATTGGTAAGTTGTAGATTATTCTCATAAAATCGTTTTTGTAGAATCCGTTTCACGAGAGAAGAACCCACCTGAAGTTGCAGTCGTCATAACCAGTGCCATATTATAAATTTGATGTTTCACTTCAAATCAGTAGCGTAATAATAAATCTGAATATGTAATATAGAAAGGAATGATCACTTTTATGGGTTTTTATGGCATAAATCATATAAATGATCAATAAATATTCTATTGAATTAGCAAGTGGAAATTGGAGATAAGGGTGAAAATGCAAGCCTTGGAGGTATAGTAATACGAATTTTTTTTTAAATGCGATTTCACATCGAAATATTTTTTAAAAATTTTTTTAGGGAAAAATTATATGAAAAAAGAATTAAATAGGAAAAATGATTAAATAGCAAAAGATCCATTTTTTTTACTTTGTTGCGTTTAATTGCTTTCTAAACGAAGCAAAATTCAAGCAATTAATATAAAATTTGTTGAAAATAATACGATTATTTCACATCAAAATATTTATTTAAATTTTTTATGTATCTGTATCTGTAAGGCCTCATTAGGCCCATTGTGCATCCTCCTAAGATGATAGGCACCTTCTAGCTTGTGAGCCAGTCTACAGATTTAATGTAGTTAATAACGTCGCCAAGAGGTGCTTTTTTTATATCGACCGATGTTAGCCGATACTCGCTGAACATAAATTTTCTAATACATGAGAGCGTCGAGCAATCGTAAAGGATATGCTCGATGGTCTCATCTTCTTGTTCGCACCCTCTGCAAAGTGCGAATTCTGCCTAGTCATAGTCAAGTATTTGTTTGCTGCAGTGTTGTCAGGATAACTTAAGAGCTCCCTGGCAACTCTACAGTATGTTGTTTTATCCCATCTTTCCTTGAATTTCACAAGAGAATGTTTTTTAATTAGGTCTGTCACTACCGATTTTGTCAGGCCAATAGAAGGGCCAGGTCCAAAAAGTATTTGGTTGGCTGCTTTCTTGACTAGTGAATCAGCAAGACGGTTACCTTTTGATAGGGAGTGAGTGACCTTCGATCTATCTTAAGGTGCACACATTGTTGATGGATACTTCGGTCAAAGCTTCGTGACATTCTAGTACTAACCTTAAGTAAATTCGTGGTCTGTTCGGGGTGAGTAGTGCTTGTCTGCTATCTGTAGAGATGAGCATATTCCTTCCAGTGATATTGTTTCTGGTTATTTCTTCTGCTGCTATGAGAATCCCCGTTAGCTCTGTTTGAACTACACTGGAACTATTGCTTACAGCCCATTTGATGTTTAGGTTTAAGAATCTGGAGTATATTCCACATCCTGAGCCTTGTTTTGTTTTAGAACCGTCGGTGTAGATATGAATCGTACCCACCACTTCTGGCTCTTCTATTTGTTCTATTATAACTTTATATGTGAGTGAGTGTATTAACTTTGGAAAGGTGTTTTTATCAAAAGCACTTTCTATGTCTATAAAAACACCCAAGGCGGACTCCTTATTGTCCAGGGATCTTTTTATCCGGCCAACAACTAGATGAATGGCTGAATCAGTAGATCTTTCTGGGTTTGGGTGTTTTATGTAAAAAATATATAAAACAATAATTTAAAACGCAAAAAATTCATTTTTTTTATTTTTTTTGCTTATAATTGCTTTCTGAGTAGGTGCAGGCATTGCTTCATACAACAAATAGTATTTTACATTTCCTTTAAAATCTTGAGTTATAAACGTTTTTTGGATAAAAATGGACTAGCTGAAATATTAATATCTTAGGACATAATAGCCTATTACTTCAAACCCTAAATATATATCGTTTAGGTAGTAAAAAAGGTAAAAAAAACAAGTGTTTATTTTAATTAAGGAATGCTTGAAAAATATTGGTAACATTGATTATTAAATGGTTTACTCAGATTACTGGCAAAAACCATTAAAAAGTTCGAACTCAAATGACTTAATATTGCATAATATGTAACTTTAGTATTAAGTTTTAAATTTTGAAAAGCAGGGAAAAATTAATAAATTTTTAAAACAGTTTACATCTAAAAACTTTAACGAAATCTGCAGTATACAATAGTAGTTAAACAAAAGATAAGTGTAAGAACAATGAATACAAAATAGCTTAGTGATAATAAATGTTTGTTGTATTTCTTATTCAATTGACTGCTAGTTGCACATGTGTGAAATATTTTACAAAATTTTATACTTTTTACCCTTACTTCAAAAGTTCAAACTTGTTTAATCTCATTTATAGTTAAACAAATTGATGAAATTTTAGATGTTTGTTACTAGTTACTAGTTATTGTAAAAGTATATTATGAAGAAATTTAAGATTTTTTGTTTATTGACTTTAGTGATATATCGATTTTAAAATCATCAATTTGAGGCATATCATAAAATTTGAAATATGTTTGCCTAGAATCTAGGTAGGTATGTTGGTAAAAATATTTTCTTGTAGGCCTGTGTTATTAATCACTTTCAGAGTCATTAAGCAATTCTATAATACTCCTACTGCTGGCACTGCTGCAATCATCCTTTGAAGTAGATTCATCAGACGATCCTGTATTTACAGTAAACACAAGAGAATATACAGCATTATCCAAAGAGGCATGGTTTTAGATTAAATAAAATACACAACACTCACTAGCAAATGTCTTAAAATAGTCGAAAATCATATATATTTAACAAATAGGCAATTCCAAAAATATAACCTTAAATTTCAAACGCCAACGTCGCTAACAAATAAATAAATCTGTACCCCAGGATAAAAGTGTATTAAGTCCACATTTACTAAAAAATTGTTTTTTTCGGAAATATACTAAATATTAAGTCCACTTTAATATAAAAAGCAGTATTAAGGGGCCACCTATAATATTAAAGGAAACTTAATTTTGTTATCTGCCAGAATAAAAGAATATTGAAATTAGTAGAACACTTTTTTACCGACGGGTATTAGAAAATGTAATATTAAGTCCATATTTCATCTTAAATATAAATAAATAGACAGTATTAAGTCCACAGTAAGCAATATAGCGGTAGCTTTCTGCTAAATTTGAGTCAAAATATTGAAAATTTATTAGATATTTTGAAAAAAGTTATTTGTGAAGATGAGTTCGAGATCGAAAAGGATTTGTGGCATGCTACGAAATAACAAAAGTGAAGATATTCCGGAAAAATGTGAAGGTAAGTTAGCCTAACCTAAAAATATTGTCTTTAATAAATATCCAATCAAAATAATTGCAAGTAAGTTAATCTGATTATAAAACGGGAGCCATATTACATAAAAAAATTACATTATATCTTTGAAATATCAAAAATTAAACAGAAATATTGTTTGGTTTTTATGAAATATAAGTCCACAAAGTGATTACCTACCAGACAATATTAAGTCCAGAATTTGATACAGATTTTTTTTTGTAAAATGTATTGTTATTTTATTTCAAATTTTGAAAAGAGGATGCCTTGATTTAAATTGATCATTTTCATTCCAGATAATCGCAAGGTTATTGTCGAAGTAATACCGATACCTGAAGATACGGTCGCGATTGCTGGCGAAAACCTAAAAAACCTAGAGGGTTTGTATTTATTTATTAGTTTGAA